TGGCAACATGTTTGCCCATGTTTATATTTAAATCTGACTTTGCTGCAGACAGACAGAGGGGGACAGAGTCAAGTCCTGCTGCAGGCTGTTTCTTGAACTTAATCTTGGTCCAAATGTTTGTGACAGGCTGCAGGGATCGGACCAAGGTGAGAAGGTGAGAGATTGTTGTACAAAACCTACAAATGTGGGTGGAAACACATTTTGTTTGTAACATTATATATATATTTCCTTTAAATAACACACTTTAAAACTACAGTAACACAGCAAAGTGAGTGCAGGATAGTTTATAAAATCAGTAGGATGTGTTAATGGTGGATAGATTCACACATATGACATGGAAGATAGAAGTTTTACTGTTTGAATAAATTGAAACTGACAAGTATAATTCATTTTTTCTTTAATACTTGCATTTATCAAGCTATTTTAGAGGCAATTTAGATCCCAATGAAGTCCATTCACACACACACACACACACACACACACACACACACACACACACACACACACACACACACACACACACACACACACACACAGTGATGTGCATTGGCAACATACATCTTCATTAGTGTCCAGTCATATCTCTGTTCTTCTCACACTTAGTGGCTCCAGTTTCTTTGTTTCTGCCTCCCTCATGAATGTTAAAATCTCTGAGTATTAATACTGTCATATTTAGGCATAATGACTGAGAGACGCTAAGAGGATTGTTTAGTCGAATTTCCAGTTAATCATGGATATGCTTGCTTAACCTCACGCAGGAAACAGAGAGAGAGAGAGAGATAGCGAGAGAGACAAGAGTGAGAAATATGACTCCATTTCCATTTTATTGCAATGAGTAAAATTTATGGCAACAATTTTTCCTGACTGATGCTTTTTGAGTTTGAAGGCAGCACAGGCACGAAAAACAAAAGATGATATCTGTAAATATGATCTTTCAAATGATCGGATGAAGATGACGATATATATATATATATATATATATATATTAGTTGTTTATAAGGTAACATTATCCCATGCTGTTGAGTACTGATGATGGGAGCAAAACAGGAAGTTAAAGTGTTATAGAGTCCAAAGGGGGTTTTTAAAACATGACCACAATCCTTCCATAACCTTAACCAGATGTTTATTATTGTCACTATGACAACGAGGCTCCCCTAACCCCAACGAAGTAGTGATTTTAATCCATATCACGATCGACTTAAACACCAAACAAGAACCACCGCACATTGGGATCAGGCTGAGATTATTATAGTTAACTCAAACTACACTAAAAGCTAAAACTATGTATGAAATAACATGTTAGTTAACTGAAATAACAATAAAAACTAGACAGACAGAAACAATGTTGTGTACTTACAAAACTAACTAAAGTAAAATATAATAAAATAAAATAAAACATGCACAGGATATGTCTGTTAACACAACAAGCATAGGGAGGCATTGGTGCATATCTTTATTGAAACTGGGATGTCTACATGACTGTGAGAGTTCACAGAGTGTTGTATTTGTACTGTAATATATATTCTGAACTTCTCTTCTCGCCCCTGACAAGTACTAGTAGTGTTTTTAAACAATAAAAACTAAATTGAAACAAGCAAACATCAGTCAGTCATCATATTATATATATATTATTATTATATTATTATAAATATTATTAATATTATCATTATATACTGTTATTATTATATACTGTAACAATAACACTACCATCATGTCATCATACTATTACCACCATCTTGCAACTAAAAACTAAAAACTTTGCACCTTACCTACCTTTTTGTCTTTTATCTTTTTTTATATTTTCTATCCAAGTATTTTATTCTATTGTATTTTATTGTATTTTAATGTACCTGGCTGCTATAACGACCCAATTTCCCTTCGGGGATTAATAAAGTCTATCTATCTATCTATCTATCTATCTATCTATCTATCTATCTATCTATCTATCTATCTATCTATCTATCTATCTATCTATCTATCTATCTATCTATCTATCTATCTATCTAAACCCACTTTAGGAACTAAACTGAACTGAAAACAAACATTAAAAATAAAAAACTAATGAAAAAAACAAAACTATAATTATTCTGGCACAGACAGTTGGTGTGACAAATTAAATGATATGGAACAAAATATGTTGTTGTTTAATTTGGAGGACTTGCTGAATGTCAATCTAGATGTAAATTAAGGGGTCAACAAAGTTATTACAATTCATCGAGCAGAAAACACACATTTCTCTACCAAATTTCATGCTAGTCCATCCAATAGTTGCAAATGTCGACCTATTGGTGGCGCTAGAGGACGAGTCAGAGGAGAATACATCATGCGGGAACCATGAATGTCTGTACAAAATGATGAATACACACAAACAATGATCCAGAATTCAATTTCTGGCCGAGGGGAGAAAAGAAAGCTCTTACAAACCATCATGTAGAGAATGTCAGGGACACACAAGTGTTAAATGAATAAAAAAAAACCTGACAAACGAATTAAACAAGTGGAAAAAATATCCAAATAATTCAACTTATCTGTGGGAGTATTTATCGGCAGGTTGTCTGACCTGTAACTGACATCGCGAGCACATCAACAGAGACGAGAGAGGCAGCTTACCTTCAGAGATCCAAAGAGGAAAGAGGTATCACGGTATTGATGAACAACTCTACCCGCTCCATAAAGTTATTTATAGACGCAGTTTATTTGCTTTTAGGTCGGTGGAAACTTTCCCCTTTTCAATATTCAGCTCACACTGTGTGTCTGAATGTTTTGACATCTCACTCCTGAGTTGTTTTGCCTTCAAGACAGATTAGCGGGCCTGTGATTTGAAAACAAGCACAATGACCCTGGTAAATAAGTTCAAGTAGTTTGATGAAATCTGTTTGATTACAGTCATTCTTCTCCACTGCCTCTTTGTTTTTTTTTTATGAACACCTCCTCAGATACTGTTTAATCAGAAGCTGCTGTATTTAGCAGCCATTCATCAACACAATGCTCTCTCCTACTGTTCACTGCCGCACACATCTCCTCTTTATCACAGTAAAATGTCTTGAACTGAGCTCAGATTTCTCTTGGATGGGGTCTTTACTCACTCAACCAAAGGCTAACTAGCTAATTAGATCTCGGGGTACCTGCTGTGTTTGCCCTTGAGGGAAGGCAGCGGTTTAATAACGGGGAGTGAGTGCAGTGATTTTGGGGCAGTGATTGTGTGTTTGACTCTGTGTAAATGTCAATGTCAATGGCGTTAACATATACAAGACACTGACACAATGATAATGTTTTCTGTGAACTTCCCTTAAACCCACTGAAGGGTACAGTTTGGTAAAACCTCATCTACCTATTATTGAACTCATGTACTGAAATTACATTAAAAAAAATAAATTATATCAAGAAATAATAAAAGAATTCATTAACTGATAATACTATTTTTATAGCAAAACAAAATGTGAGAAAAGAAATTAATCATCTACACTTACGATCGTAAAAATACACAGTGTCCCTAACACACGATACTGTTACATACAAATCACTCATAGACTGAATTGTGAAAGGGCCTCTGGAGCTTTTCAATCCATTCTGCCACTTCCTCTTTGAATTAAGTCACAAAGATCATTGGGCAAGTGATTTATCAGTGGCTGCTACACATTTATGTTCTTATTTCCTTTTATTTTCTTTGCAGTCTTTGCATAGACGCACGCTGAAGATTTCTCTTTACCGATCCTGGGTTTGAATCCCGGCTGCAGAAGGGCCTTTTTGTGTGGAGTTTACATGTTCTCCATGTTTGGTTTCTTAATTATTAGGTTAATTCTCCAGTCAGTGCCCTTTACCAAGGCACTGGCTCAGATTTGGATTTGGTCCCTGGGAGTCGCATTGGTGGCTGTCCAGCGCTCCCAGTACCTAAACACTGGCTCAAATACAGAAAATTTCCCTTCAAGGATCAATAAAATATCACTTAACTTAAACAGTATGCATAAAAAGAAGTTTATTCAGCCATTTGGAAACTTTTGTGTAAATATAACTGTCTGCAGGTGAAACTGGATGTTGTTGTTGTTTACTCCACATTGTGACGTAATAGGAATCCATTCTAGAACCCCGTCCTGGTGAATAAGTGTGTTCACATTCTCTCTTCTTTGAACAAACCTGCTCAGACAAAGCAGCAGCAACCAAAAATACTGAGGAGAAAAGCTCTCGTATATCGCAAAATCAAGATGAGTGACCAAGGCCTGTCTTCAGACAAGCCGAGCTCAGTGTTTAACGATCTCCGTCTGGAGGGAAACTTCTGCGATGCGGTCATCAAAGTTGAGGATGTGGAATTTCCAATCCACAAGATCATCCTCTGTAAATGCAGCCCGTACTTCCGGTGAGTTGGTTGTCTGACTTGGATAGTCAGTCATTAGGTTATTAGGTCATTAGATCAGAGATTAGGAGGGAAACTCATGAATTTGTGTCCTTCAAATGAGCAGAAAAACTAAATACGAGCTGATTAATGGTCGGTTGTTAAGTCTGAGAAACAGTCGTATCGATTCATGGAGCATTTGTGATTTTTACACACACACACACACACACACACACACACACACACACACACACACACACAGAGTCAGATATCAGTTTAAATGAATGAAGGATTTTGCTGCCTTTCAGTTGTGTGCAACTAAAATGTGTCCCATATAGAGAGGCCTGTTCCTAATAAAGGCTGGTTGAGTTCAGTGATTGAAGCAAATAAAAGTGTGAGCTCTTAATTGAAGTTTTATATATACTGTATACAGTGAGTATGCAGGTTGGGATACACTATTTAAGACTAGTTCATACATACTAAATCTACCAGGACTATTTGTGTTAGGAGTTCAGAGCAGTGCACTGGGTTCATTAGTGCTGTGGTTTAAAGCTACGTGTATACTGGGAAAGATCTATTTTGAAAAGTTCTACAAGAAGTATTTCAATGTGAAAATGAGAAGAAAATGTTTCTGTTTATTCTTAATCCTCTGCTGTATCCTGACCCACAGAGCTATGTTCAAAGGCAGGTCAACAACAGACAAAAAGGTCTTTGGCATAGACGGCCTGTCTCCTGAAATGATGCAGCTCATCATTGAGTTTGCGTACACCGGCTCTGTTTCTGTGACAGAGGATAACGCACAGGAGCTGCTGCTAGCAACCCATCAGCTGTACGTAATGGAAATTGTACAAGCTTGCAGCGATTTCCTGGGGGAACAGCTCAGCCCAAAGAACTGCATTGGCATCTGGCAGCTCACCAACACCTGCTTGTCCCCCGAACTGCAGCGCAAGGCCTACCGCTACATCACTGATCACTTTGAGGAGGTTGTTTCCTGCGAAGAGTTCCCGCATTTCTCTGTGCGGGAACTCACCGCCATCCTCGGTAGAGACGACCTCAATGTGAGAAAGGAGAGCATTGTGTATGAGGCCATCCTTCACTGGATCGCCCACGCGCCTGAAGAACGGAAAAAACACATCGCTGTACTCTTTTCTAAGGTGCGACAAATTTGTGTCACTACTTTTAGTTTAGGTTTTCAACACTCAGCTGATGGTGTTATCCTGACTGCGACAATAATCATTAACATAAGGCCACCTTAATAAAAGTTAAGTAAATTCCAAAACACTGTCCAGCTGAGTTTAAAGGTGCTTTCACACCTGTTGCTTTGTTAGTTTGGTCCGATCCAAGTTAAAGAATTAAGTTACATTACAAAATACATGGTTACCCTTTAGATTTGGTCCCATTCAGACTGTTACAAACAAACTAAGAGCTGTAAACATGAAGTCATATGGACTGACAGTTTTTTGATTGGACAGTTTTGGCGACTGACATCCTGCATCATTAGCAGATAGAAGACTGGTCATGCCACAAATTGTTTTACTGTCACAACAATAAATGAATCCTACTATCTAGTATTGTCTCTGTATCCAAAGTCTGATATAGCTTATTCCTCTGTGTCACAAACCTCCATTGTTGTCCAAAAACCATTAAAAATACATCAGTGAGCCACATTGTTGGGTGGCATGTTTCTGAAAATACCCAAAACAAATCTGTGTTTCAGTTTAACAAGAGACCTTTCTTCTTTTGGTTTTTTTTATTGCCTTTATTTGGAAAGTAAGGAGAGAGAGAGAGAGAGAGAGAGAGGGAGGATGACATGTAGCAAGGGGCTGAAATTAAACCTGGGTTGCTGTGGTAAGGACTTGCACAAGGGGCCGTACGCTCAACAAGGTGGGCTATCAGGGCCCACACGTGACCCTTATAATTGGCAACTTTCAGCCAAAAGTTGAGTTACCCTAAATCACATTATCTGGGTGCTGTTAAGTTAGTTGTAATCTGCATCTTCACCACTAGATGCCACTAAATCCTACACGCTGGTCCTTTAAAGATGAAAATTTAGTTGTCACGATAAATGGGTGAAACCAATATAAGTCTCGGTTAAAATAATTATAAGAAGGCAACAGAAGTCTGGACACTAGTCTCAGTACAGTCGATCATGTTCACTTCAAAGATGCTGTCCTGTTTTCTCTGTGCAGTTCCGGCTGGCCTTGACAAACAAAGATTACATCAACATGAAGGTACTGTCCAATGAGCTGGTCAGGAACAGCCCTGAGTGCAATCACACAGTCATAGATGTGCTTAAAAGGATACACATCATCAAAAACAGCAGCTGGTTGTCTGGGCTTCGTAAGCCTCTCACCTGCCCTCGCCTGCCTAATGCCGTCCTGTTGGCCATTGGAGGCTGGAGCGGCGGCAATCCCACCAACAGCATTGAGGCATACAATATCCGCGCTGACTGCTGGATCAACGTGACGAGCAGATGGGAGCATCCTCGTGCCTATCACGGCACTGCCTTCCTCGATGGGTATGTCTACTGCGTTGGTGGTTTTGACCGACTGGAGCATTTCAACAGCGTGCGCAGGTATGACCCCAGCACACGCTCCTGGACTGAGGCAGCACCCATGCACTGCTGCCGCTGCTACGTGAGCGTTACTGTGCTAAACGGATACATCTATGCAGTGGGAGGTTTTGACGGTCACACACGACTCAGCACTGCAGAGCGCTACAGGCCCGAGGCCAACCAGTGGAGTCTTATTGCACCCATGCATGAGCAGAGGAGCGACGCCAGCTGCACAACACTCCGCAACAAGGTGGGTGAAGTGAAAGAACATCTGGGAACAATTCAGAGTAACAGAGAGTAGTATGATAGTGACTGGAACATTACTAATTTGCTGTTTGAAACAAGACTTAGAGTCTATAGTCGCGCTAGTGGCCCTGTAAGACTGTAAAGGTTATTGAGCAGAAAAACGGGATAAAAGATAGGAAGTCAGGATCAGAAGTCAGGATCTGAGTTTATTTGGAATAATTGGCCAGAAGTTAGTGTCTGACCAGTCTGGCTCACAGGAAGTAGGGTTTAAGTCTGCCATTGGCCGACTATTTCAGGAGGAAATCTCCTCCCCTTTCACAATCTTCTGGCACTATTTTGCAAGGAGACTGTCGCTGCATCCCGGGCTTAGCACTGCCCAAGACGATTGTGATTGGTTTAAAGAAATACAAGCAAGCCATATACCAGAATAATAATTTGTTTAGCCGTTTCTCTGCATGTGGGAAACAAACAAAGTGGATCGGACTGAGCCACATAGAACTTTTATTCCAGCCACAATTTATGTGTCAAGTAATGTTAAATTACTTGCCCAAGGAGATTCAGCTTACTTTCTAGTTTGCCAAAATAACCTGTTGTTTAGATGTTAGCTATAGCCGCAGGAGAGATGTGAGTATTGTGAGCCGGCTCTGGGAAAGAAATCTCGTCCTCTTTGTATTGAAACTGCTCACTTTGTGTGTCAGTGTTAGATCAGACAGATACTTTATATAATATAGTGTTCACATAGTGTTTATATCATGGTATTTATAAAGGACATTGGATTTCTCCAGAATCGCTTACCCCACCTTTAAATATATTTATATTCCAGACCCCAATTAAAATTTTTATACTAATTTTGATATTTTAAAGTAAAAAAAAACAGCCTGTGCCAGTATATGCCAATATTCATTTTTAGAATCAACATTCAGCAAAAAGAACATTTCTATTTGGCCTAGTAAAGAATAGTTATTAAGATTGTACTAAGTCATGACATTTTACAATTGAACAATAGACTTGTAAGTGGTCTTTAACAAACTATTTAATGGGGACCGTTTCAAAATTACCTCAAACATATATTTTACATCACTGTAGAGCAATTTCTTATTATTATCCACCAGATAAGGTAACATAGGAAGATAATATCAGTTGTCTAATTTATCAGTCAGGTTGGATCCCAGCTATAATTCACTTATTAACTCACAATGGTGTAGAAATATTTCTTTATTAGTTGCATTAACACAGGAAACACCATCCAAAAAAAGTGCAAAATTACTTAATGACCATCCTGTTCACCCCAGGTTTACATTTGTGGTGGTTTCAATGGGAACGAGTGCCTGCAAACGTGTGAGTGTTACAGCCCAGAGACCAACCAGTGGACAAGGATCACCCCCATGAACAGCTGGCGCAGTGGAGTTGGCGTCATTGCATATGCAGACCACGTCTATGCGGTAAGTACATGAAACGCTGCTGACACTCACTTCAATCAGGAGAGACAAGTGAAAGAAGTAATGATAATTGTTTATCCTAATAACACGTGTTATGATTAAGTCTTGATAGAAAGTCTGAGAGCCCTTAGACTCTATAGGGAGATTTTTGTGATCGAGGGGTGTCTGCACTGATAAAAATCCCCCTGTGGAGTCCAGTGGAGTGGTGGCGGCTGATGACTCTGCTGAGGCTTATAGGCTTATGAAATAATGAAGCTGATGAATCTGCGAAGACTGGGCGGTGATGGGGAGGGACTGTGGCTCAGTGTAACAGCAGCATGAATGAATTGAAAGCAGAAAGAAAATCTAATTTAAACAGACAGCAGCAAGATGATTGGCTAAGGATGCAGGTGTGTCACTGCGCTATTGGAGGGATGAGACCAGCTGACAATGACAGCAAGGAAATGATGTGTGAGCATGAGCTAGAGGAGTGAATGCACAATGGAAAGAGAAATTAACTACAGGCCTGTATGCAAAAGAATAATCTTCCTGAGTGAACCTTTCACTATAGCTTTATATAACACAAACTGTGTATCTGAACCGAATTTCATGGTAACTTAAACTTATTGAGACATTTTACTTAACACCACAAGTGTCAACCTCATGGCTGGCACTAGAGGACTCATTAAGATTCATTCTCTGGGACCCATGAATCAGTAGATGGAAGGTCAAGGGTTCACCAGAGTCATTTCTCAGCATTGGAAAACCCATTCAACCATCACACAAACTATTCTTTAGCCTTCAAAGACCCATTAATTTGATCTGTTTTTAAAAGTAGGAAAATGAAAGACAGAAAACAAAACTTGGACCCTTTATTTTACTTTTCCTCTTGCAGGTTGGTGGCTTTGATGGTCACAACCGTCTGAGCAGCGTTGAGGCCTACAATCCCCGGACCGACACCTGGCATGCAGTGTCCTCCATGAGGGGCACCCGCAGCAACTTTGGCATCGGAGTGATTGACGATCAGCTCTTTGTTGTCGGGGGCTTCGATGGCTTCACCACCTCCTTTAAGGCCGAGTACTACGACGCAACAGTTGATGAGTGGTCTGAGGCCTGTAACATGAAGATTTTCCGCAGTGCCCTGAGCTGCTGCGTGGTACACGGGCTCCCCAACATGAATCAGTATGCCCTCCCTCCTGACGCCCTCCCGTTTTTATATCTGGAGGATGACTCGGTGGATTCAGGAGACTCCATCTGACACTCAAGAGGGGTTAGTCCTGCCCGACTGTACCGACATCCACCCTGGCAAGACTTTAAATAAACTTCTTTGAGCATCAAACTTCAGTTACTCCAGAGATTTCAATAACCTTTCAGTCTGTGCGAAAACTTGTTTTATGGTATTTATGGTATTGCAACAGTAACCCCTGATAAGAGGGAATATCTTCCCTGCATCCAAGGGCAAGATCAATGCTGTTAGTAGACGTCTCATTTTTAGATTTTTAAGCCATAACATCATTTATTTTGCGAGGTCACTACAAAATGAAACTCTGTCTGTCTGTACGTCCTCCCAAAGATATTTTAAGAGTGAGAATGCCACAGTGGTATTTTGATACTGAAGAAGCAAACTCTGATATGTGTGTTTTGCTGTCTAACGTTAGCTGGCTGCCGTACGTAGCTGAGCACTAACAGGTAATGGTAGCGGACGGTAAACACTGGTCAGAACCCCTCTTATTATGCTTTATGTTGTGTCATAAATAATGTTACGATGTCGGATTTTCATATAAAACGTGCTTCAAATGAGGTAAAACGTGTAGCAAATGAAAGTTGCTCAGTAGCACAAGAAGCTAAAAAAGCCACTTCCAACTGGAAAGAAATGATCCGGATGAATGCAGACTGTTCAAACTCTATGGACCGCAGTAATACACCAGAAACTTCCACCAGCAGAGCCGCTAACTTCCAGTTCAGCCCTCTGCTAACACACTTGGGGGTGAAATGATTTACTTGTGCGGCTCTTCGAGACTTACCAAATGTTATCAGACCAAATGGCTCAAAATCTGAGTCATTTAGTGGTGTTGTTTTACAGCCACTTCTTTAAAAAAGTCTTTTAGGGTCAGTGTGCACCATGTGACGGACCAGGAAGTTGTAATTACACAGTTTGGCCTCTATGTGTAATTGGCTTCACTTCCTGGGGGTCTTGATCTGCTACAGGCAGCACAGCCGAGTAGACCGACGAAGTACAGGGACCTGCTCAGTCTGTTTTCCTTCGGCTCCTCTTTATTACCCCTGAAGTTGAAACAGTAAATTAGTCTGGTTTTCTAGATACAGATGAACTTGTTGACTTCCAGTGAAATAGGCCTATACTGATCAAATATTAGTCAGTGGAACAGTTAAATCCTGATAAACTTCTCACAATATTTTTTAGGTTGTATGGTTTTATCATTTCTAAAAACATACAATTTCTTTAATGTCATCAAAAACAACATTTGTGTTATGTCTAATATAATATGTCTTAATATCAGTTGTCATATGATTTCAATAGTCTTCTGTAGCACTTACCAGATGTACAGTGTTCACAGTATTGTTTATTCTACTGTCTAATGTACATTTGACCGCTACCGAGTCAATCCTGGCTCAAATACTGAGAAATATACATAATACTGTATCTCTGACTGACACAAAGAGCGGAGGAGTGAAAGAAAAAAGGAAGGAGGAGGATAAAAAGAGAATAGAGTGATGGAGAGAGGAAGAGGGAGGAGAGAGAGACATGGACAGAAAAAAGAGAGAGAGAGATTCAGTCAGAGTACAAGTTGGTGCTGTTACATGACTTTCTGGCTGATGTCAAGGACTGGATGTTCCACAATCTCCTCCAACTAAATTTGGACAAAACTGGGATTATTCAGGGGGAAGAAAAGCTTGAATGACTTCAGTCTGTCCTTCTCTGTTTTGCCGCATATATACTCTCTCTCTCTCTCTCTCTCTCTCTCTCTCTCTCTCTTTCCCTCCTCTTTACTTTTTGTCTTCCTCTTCATCTCACATACAAAGCATTGGTTGCTCTTTTTTGGGCAGAGTCACCTTGAAGCAGGGAGCTGTCTGTGTGTTTGCAGCATAGGAATATATAGTAGGAATGTATACATAATGGACATGTGTGTATATATCTATGTTTGTTTTTATATCAGAGGAGGGGAATAAACAACTTTCCTTAAAGCACAACATCCTCTTTAAGCATCACTGGACACTTCATTTTGCTGAGATTTCTCGGCCTCTGAAGACATTTTATAGTTTAAAGAGAGCAGGTGAAGTCACTCATTTATGCATTTGTTCCTGATGTCTCAGAAAATTTTATTCTGCTGTGATAAAATACTGCTTTGTTGATATTATTGATTTGTCCTGAATGAAGGATTTTCACCAAGTTTATTCACGTGCATAGCTTTTGTGATAAAAAACCATCTGAACACAGGAAGGCACAGCAAATGGAAAGCAGTGCAGGCATTACCGTTGCAGTGTTGTCATGACTCGGCAGTATCCACCATGACGAGCTTCACAGTCTGTGTCTCTGCCGCTCCACAGAGGGAGACTTTAAAATGTTTATCAGGTTTAATGCCTCAGTGTCTTTCTCAAGGAACAGAGCAAAAAGTATGAAATATGAAATTTGACACATATCAACAGATAAGCTCTTACTCTTTTCTCTCTCTCTCTCTCCTTCTCTTTTGTCGACTCCTCTCCTCCTTCTTCCCGGCACTGTCCTTCATTTCTCCAGTTTAATATATTTGTGTGTGCGTGGTGTGTGTCTCTGCTGCACCTTCAGAAATAGAAACTGTTACATTTCTTGGTTTATCTCTCTGTTAAAATAATGGAGGTTTTTCACATTCTGTTGTGGAAAAGTTTCAATCAGTTTAAATTTCTATTTGCTTTTTTGGCCCTAAAATTTGTAAAGACCTTTGGGTCAAAGTATTTAAAGGAAAATAACAATGGTGATTGTGTTATTTAATAATATTGTGGGCTGTTGCTGGTAAAGCCGCAGGGCTCGAATGATATTTGGCTTCTGGCATGGGACAGAAGGCAACGCAGGAAGTCACATGAGACATGATTCAAGAGATTGTTTAGTTATCTTCTCTTTTTTATTTTATAGTTTAATTATAGTCTGCCTTGTCTCTGTGATTGTGTCACCACAGTTGGGAAATGTAGTCAGTAACCTAATCCAAGTATCACAATATCAAAGTAACGTAACTTGATCACTGTCTATTACTTTTGGATGACCTTAATACCAAAATATGCAAATAAAGACAAGTAATAAGGAAATATCAATAAGATTCTATAAGAAAACAGAACAATGAAACATAGAAAAATGGAAACCAAGTTTTTCAACATCTAATTTTTGTCCTCTGTGTATTTTTAAAGAAAAACATGCTTCTCATAAAGCAAATTCAGGCAGTAGCCTATAGACCATTTTCACAGCTGGAAGGCAGAACACTGTACTGTGATGTATTACTCCCCAAGCCTGTGGGTCTCATATGCAAACATGTTGTACGTGAGCAAGGCTATCACCAGATAACTTTGATTTTAGATCATTCTCCAAAACCCTGGATTACATTAAATTCTCGCTTTTCTACAATATTGTGTTTATGGCAAATAAACTATGGTTAAGGTTTGGTGAGTGTTAGGCAACTGAAACACTCAGTTACGGTTAGGGGAATTTGTTAGAAAAGATAGTTACAGGTCTGTGACAGGATGCAAACTGTAGTCTGTTGGATATGTTACATACCTATAAAAACATTGTGAACAGTCACATGAACGGGCTGAGCTGGAACACTGACAGCGTCAATCTTGGATGTTTCTGCAGAATCGTGGATTACGTACAATGTTTTTATAATAATTTTCTCTACAGTCCGCACATGACAGCTACAGTATGACTGCGGTACGGAAAGATTGCTGTCAAAAAGTCAGACATTAATTGGTCTTGTGCATAAAAGTTGTTCATGTTCAATTCAATTTTATTTGTATAGCGCCAAATCATAACAGAAGTTATCTCAGGACACTTTTTCAAAATAGAGCAGGTCTAGACTGAACTCCTTATAAAATTATTTACAGAGACCCAACAGTACCCCTATGAGCAAGCACTTGGCGACAGCGGCAAGGAAAAACTGCCTTTTGAGAGAGAGAGAGAGAGAGAGAGAGAGAGAGAATGGGGTAAAGACAGAAGGACAGAGACAAAGGTGCACAGCAACAACAGTAGCACCAACTACACTAATAGTAGTGACTGATGGTGATAATGATGATGAAGAGGATGATGACGACGACGACAACAACAACGATGGGGGACAATGAGCAGTGATTATAGTAATAATAGTAACTGCAGTAATAATAATAATAACAATGGAAGTCAAGCAGTTGTTGCATCCATCCTCCTCTCTGACCTGCACAAGCTTTCTTTTGCCTTGTTTCAACAAAGGAAAACAAAAACACTGAATCTTGGTGTAGGATTGTGAGGTTCAGGATCGTCAAATATGACAGTTACTAGGAATACAGCGGTGATGTGAATGTTGTAATCTTAAACATGCACAGCGTTTGTTCAAACGGAGCTCTCAGCTATTACTCTGCTGATTTCCCAATGCCAACGCCTTTTGCTGTGTTTGTATGTTCATTAAGGGAGAATTAGTGCTCCCAGCTGAACCCTCATTGTTGCTTGGTTACTTTGTGGACTCCCTCGCAGAGACTTTTTTCACAAAAACAATATAACCATTTGCTATAAATGGTCAGTTCTGTGACATAAGAGTCTTTGACTGAACTAGGGTTAAACTAGATGATTAAGGTTATGGAAAGTGTGTCTACAGTTAACAAAAAGGTGAATTGCAGGTCTTCTATAGGTCACAAACTCCAATCTCCTGCATGTAAGTCTCAGAGTAATTAAAAGGGATATTATGCTCTAATCTAGTGCATGCTTTTTTAGACAATTTGACTGCTTTCATTCAGGTTTGTGTAGAAGCCGTTACAAAACGTTACTTGGTTCTGAGTCGTCAGAATACCAAAGCAGCTTTGTGTTGTTATCAAACATGATGCTTCTGACCACAGTGCATGTCTGAAAGGTGCTCATGTGTGCATGCGTGTGTCCCCGGAAGATATGAAAGGTCTTCTACAAATACAGGCCGACAAACCCAACTGTTACGCCACCCACACACACACACACACACACACACACACACACACACACCCACACACACACACACACACACACACACACACACACACACACACACACAC